TCTGGGGTTATCTTCCACAGGGCACTCGAGAACCGCTTCTGTAGGGATCTTTTGCTGCTTGGCAATTGCCCACCATTGGGGCCAGTTGGGGGTTTTCTTCCTTCTGCTTGGCCGTGGATAGGAAGTGGTGTCGTTGCTGGTAGGGTCTCAAGGTACTGTGCAGCTCGTCTCCCATTATTTACGGCACCCGGTTTCTGTTCCTCCTGTGGACATTGTGCCTTTGCAGAGTTTTCTTTTTCTTTTTGTTTATTTCGCCTGGTGGGGGATCTGTCCCTTGGTTGTTATCCACCCTCTGTTTTATTGGTGGGCCTTCGCTAGGCCCCCATGCTTGTACACATCGCAGAGGTTCAGTTTTAGCAGTTTTCTTGGTGGTTTTGGCCAAACTGGTTAGCAGTAGCTTGCTTGAGCTTCCTTTAGCAGTCAGCCTAAGGGCCCTGGAAAACCTCATTGGGGCTCATTGAACCTATAGACGCATCCTCTGGGTACCAGCTCGCCGGGTGTGGGTTTGAAGGTTGCTCTGTTCCCCTGTCTCAGGGTGACACTCAACAGTTTTACCTCTGTCATGCTGCCTGCTGGGTCAATGACACCTTCGACCTGGAGTCCTGCAAGTCTTATTCCTTGCTTGTGCTATAATTTATGCATTCTCCTGATCTTGATATTCGGGTATAGGCGGCTTCCCCATTGCATGAACGGTATAGGTTGCTGCAGCAAGCTAGGTTGGTTGCTCACCTGGATGCCCCAAGATTGCCCCGTTTGGGTTACAGGGACCGGACTTGGGAGAGTTAGTCGATTCGACTTTGCTTTCGTCCGCAATCCCGAGTCCTTCCCCTGGTTGGGTCTTTTGTTGCAGGGGGAGTGATTCTCGTATCCCCCTTCCCTGTATGAGTATGATTTGGATGTGACTACCCCCAGGGTTCAATTCCAAGTGCCTTTGGGCCCTTCATGTTTGTCCGTCTGGAGGTTGCCCTCCTCTTGATTTTTTTTTATGTCATGGTGGTCATTGTTGTGGTGCCATTTGATAGTTCAATGTGGTTGATGGGGGGGGGGGGAAGGGGGTGGCATTGCCTATTGTTAGTTGGGGTAGGTCATCTGTAAGTCACCCAGGAGCTGGGTCACAAGTGCCCCCTTTAGTTGGTCCTACTTCATTTGGAAGAACAGCTTGTGGGGTTTCAATCAGTCTTTTTGAGGTTTGCCCCTTTGACAGGGCAGTGGGGGAAGACTAGCTTGGATTGCCCATGCTTGGACAAATAATTCGTGAACCTTTCAGATAATTTCCTTTGGCCCACGGTGATGTTGGGTGGTCCCTCCTCCTTTGGGGGGGGGGGGGTCGGACTTTCAGGGCAGATTTCTGCTCCTTGCATGCACAGGGTCATCTCGGAATGGGTGGTTTTGGCCATGGTCGATACAACTGGGTTCCCACCTTTTTCCGGCCCTAAAATGGGATTTGCTGGATCTCCAGTTCAATCCTTCTGGGCTGAACTGGTTCATTCCTTGCCCCCTTCATTTGGATGACCACGCCTCTTCATCGAGGTGGGCAGTTGGATAATCTTCCTTGACCTCAAGGTTGTATATTGGTACATCCCTATATACACAAGGTTCAGGATTAATTAGGCTTTGTCATGGGGCAGCAAGCTTACTGCTTTTGGATTCTCCCATTCAGGCTAAGTCTGGCTCCTCACGTTTACACTCTTGCTCGGGCTGTGGTGGCATGCCCTCATATGCTTGGTGTTCAGGTTTTGGCCAACCTTGACAACTGGCTGGTATGGACTCCCAGCCAGCCCACGTGTCTGCTAGCCAGAGATCTGGCTTTTTGGGGGTTTGGTGCCCTGGTGCCATCCTATACCCTTGCTTGACATCTTCACAGGGAAGTCTCAGCTCTCGGCTAGGGCTTTGTGACCAGCACTTGTCAAGCTAGCCGAGGTCTTTGGTTTCCACCCCTTCATTGGGTGCACAGAATGGTTTGGAAGCTTGCAGGAATGTGTCAGGCACTGCAGAGAGTTTGGATTCCTCCGTGCTCCATTCAGACTGTTTCCCACATGATTCACTGTCTCAACTGGGGGAGGGGGGGGGTCTTTGGTCCCTGCATCTTTGGAGCTGGATCTGCGTGTAGCTGCAACCCATCCTCCGAATTGACAGTACGATTTAATATTAAGTGTAATAAGTATATATCCTTATTGTCATACATAGTACATAATTGCACTTATGGGGCTGTTACATTTACCTCCCCATTTATTCTCCTCGTTTTCTGTTAAAACACTCAGAATTTTAGGATGAAGTTTTCAAGTTTTAATTACTATACACAAGTTTTAAATATCAGGAATTTCTTTTTCAGTTTTATTAAACAATAGAGATTTCATACAAAATTGGAAAATATCCTGAGTTACTTTACAATTTATTGATATATGTTAGTTTTGTTTTATTAGTTTTATAAAACTATAGGTTAAGTACTAATTGTAATTAAAAAGCAATAAAATTATTATCTTCAAAAACTAAGACGGTTAGGTGAGGTCGTGGTTTTCTATTCAGTTTTTCAGATATACTCAAATATTCACAATATATTTGACAGTACGATTTAATACTAAGTGAAAATAAGTACAATTCCTGACTGCTATGAATAGTACATAATTGCACTTATTTGTGCTCTTACATTTACCTCCCCATTTTTGGAGGACGGGCTGTGTAGCTTGTCTGCTGGTTTTCGGTGCTGATCGTGTCCATGGAGTGTTCGGTATCCTTGCTGACATCCTGTTCCATTTCATTCGAGTCTCACAGAGTGGACAATCGATGTTGCCTTCTTCCTTTGGCTTTGCAGGATGTTTGAGCACCCGTACATGGACCTCTTCGCATTGGTGTGATCTCAGCATCTTCCTCTTTATGCAGGGATCATGAGGCCCTTTATGAGGCCCTTGCAGTAGATGCCTTTCAGTTAGACTGGCTGCAGTGGGGGTTCATATACAGTACCTCTTCCCACAGGTCCGGCTGTTGCTCCAGGTTCTGGCGCGATTGGAATCTTACAGGGGACAAGGTGAACCTTCTGGTTCCTTGGAGGCCAGCTCAGCCTTGGTTTCAGGTGCTGGATGCTCAGTGTCTGAACCCGAGCATTTTTCCATGGATCCGTTTCTTTCCAAAAATTGGCCTAGTGATGTTCTTCGCAGGTTCCGCATTCTTGTCTGATCTACGCTACAAGTTTTTTTACGCATGTTTATCACCATCTGTCGTGGCCGTTAGGCAGTTTGTTCATTTGCAGCTGGCTCCTTTTCTGGTGAAGAATGAGTTGGTTGGCTTCTGAAGGGGGTCCCTTTGGTTGTTGATGCATGGTTCGTTCACCTGGGGATACATCATGTGTTGTCCGGTGGCGGCTCTTCACCACTACCTTCATGCCAGCGGTTCTGCTTCGGTAGATTTGTTGAGGGTTACTCCGGTTACCTTAATTCTCTATTCCTAGGCTCCTCTTTCTCAGATCATCTGCAGTGTCATCAAGTCTAACCAGCCTGCAGTCTAACCCTCACACTCATGACGTTTGTAAGTATGCAGCTCTGTCAGATGTCTGCTAATATGTCCTAGGCTGATATTCGGGTGCGGGGGTTTTGGCGATTGAACAGGGTTCTGGTGGCCAGGTACCTTGCCAGTACTTGGTGCCAGGTAAATGTTCCCAGTCTCCAGCACCCTTGCATGGGTTTGGGTTGTGTGATGTGGTCGGTTGTCTCTTCTTTATAATGTTCCTCAAGGCGCTCCCTCCTCTGTGGTAAGTGCCTGTTTGTACTATTCTCTCTAGATAGATGGCTTCAGGGAGTCACAAGGGGCTTTCCCCAGAAATCTAACATTGAATGTAATGAAATGTCAATTTCTGAGTGAGCCCTGGTAGCCCTGACACCCTTTCCCAAGGCATTGAGGGTGTTTCCATCGTCTAGAAGCAATGGTGGATCAGCTGGCTGACCCCAGGCTGCCTTCCTCCTTCTCTCCAAACAGGGAGACAAGGTGGGGCGAATAAATTCGTGCTTACTTTGTGAATTTTCAATTGTTTGTTTACATTGTTTGAAGAGTTCTTTTGGGGAGTTTTCAAGGATGCAGTCTAGCTTACATCCAGCAATAGTCTGTTTTGGTTTACTAACTTTCTGGGTGCTTCCCTGGTGGTGGCAGACATAATTATATTCATAGTAATTTTATCACATTGCCACTGCTCCATGTTGTGGAGCAGTGAGGTAGCCATTTTGTGATGGCTACCTCCTCCTGTGACATGACTTATGTTCCTTGCAGCTTTCAGGGATGTGAGCCATTGTTTTCTAAATTCAATGGATATTCAGGTAGCCTCCATTGCTCCAGTTGTTGGGTTCAAACATTTTTTCATCCACGTATATACTGTACAGTATTTATTATTATTGGATGTGTGTGCGCACCTTACGGTAACGGACTGTGCCGTCTTCAACTGTGGCTGGTGAACCTCCTGTCTTTTATGAAGAGGACGTTGAGGTTTTGATGAAGACCTGTTCTAAATCCAGAACGTTTCCTCATGGGGCAGGGATTCCAGGGGCATTCACTAAGACTTCTGAGCAGCCTTGGCTCAGGGCCTCTCAGGTTCCTGAAATATTGGTGTGGGAGCCCATAGATTTGAGTGAAGAACCTTCAATATTTATAACGGTGATGTCTCTCCACCGAGATGATTTGGAGGTCAGCCATTCTTTGGGAAGATGGGTGTTAGGGGTCTCATTGGTAGTTTGTTACCCCTTCCTCCATTTGCACTGGTTCTGGTGTAATTGTTTAACTCTACCTGATCTTTGTAATCTTGGGAAGGTGGGTTCTAAGGGTTGCAGGAGGCTGTACACATTTATTTAATGTGTATGAAATTCTGAACGTAGAATACTAAACTAAGTGTAAGAATGTTATATACAGTACCAGGCTGCACTTTTGGTTCCATCTTGTGTTCCAGCATTGTAGTTATAGACTGAAACACACTAATCCTGAAATAAATCCATGAAACATAATGTGCATCATTTCCACAGCTTGGAACTGAACATGGAACTGCCAACTGGTGGAACAACCACAGTGGGAGTGAGTGCCACACAAGCCAGCCAAGACCAGGATGAACTCACTCAGAGACTGGCCAAGCTACGCAATGCTTGATTCCTGCAAGGGGGCCGACTGCACTCCACACTTCTCCCAGAGGAAAAACTCCAACAATGGTGGTTATTTATTCTGATTGTGATTGCCTTTCTTAACCAGAACAGCTTGGTCATTATTAAACAAAATTGACCTTTAGTAAGAAAATTTAACGTTTGCCATTTAGATGAATATTATTTGACAATGATGGCTTTAAGACAATTAGAAACATTGTATATCAGATTCATATATAAATTAAATTTCCTCAGGTTTGCCAGGTTTCTTGGTAGGTTATGGAATGTTTATATGGAGCAAAAATTCTACAATTGATTGAAATGGTGAAGCTAGAGACAAAGTACTCAGTTTAGACACCACTACTAGAGTGTAAGAAAGAATTTCTCGAGTATAGACAATCGGCTAATGTGAATTATATAGTACAATACTGTACTGTAGTTGGATGGAAATCTTATCTAGCTTAATCAAATTTAGATTGCCTATGGAAACTAACCCTACCAAGATTGTTACATAGTCACAATGGAGGAAGTTGGTGGAAATAATCATTATAATTAGTTATTGTTTGTGTCAAGTTACATATTTAGTATTTCAGCTTTGGAAGACATGGAGAGCGAGTGTCGATCCTTCAGTCACTTGCTCCATGAATCAATTTTTGTTATCAGGTGATGATTTGTTCATCCATTGTGTTTCATCATAGAAGTGTCATTATTGCTAAGCTTCGGTCTTGAGTAGTGAGAAGTGTGTACAAGATTGATAATGTTTCATAATGTTTACTGTAATTGTAAGGCCAACATGAATATTGGCTACAACTGTGTATAGTTTGCTTATTATGACATGTCTGATGCTTATAATAATCTGCAATTTCCTTTTCTATGGGGTTAAAGAAATTTAGTTTGCAAGTATCCAAAACAGTATACATCAAATTCCATGGTTGTGTTTACCATTTTGAAGTACAATATTGCATGGTGAATTTAGTTTTTACTACAGTACTCGTATTATCTTGATACAATGTAAAATGATTCGTGGGTTTTACGGTTATCCAATCAACATGGCTTCAATTTTTATTTTATTAGGAATACATTATGGTTTACTATTTTCTGATATTTGATATTTTGGGTGAAGAGGTTGTGCAGGTTGGATACCATACAAGTTTGTACAGTATATAGTACCAAGCTGCCCATTTAGTTCTACCTTGTCAAATTAATATTGGGCAGTAGAGGTGTTCTTGCTACACGTTTTTCCAGCCCCAACAATGTGAACAACCAAATTAATACTGTATTTTTTTTTTTTATATAGAATGTGATAATGATGAGCAATATTCTTTTTTACGTGTTAAAATTTTCTGCAAGTTGTGTGAATAAGTACTGTATCTAATTTTAGGTAAACTTATCAAATCTTTATAAATATTTCACACCACAAAAACTGTGTAGCAAGCCAGTGATAGAAGACGGCAGTGATTGCCTTTAATCTCTTCACGAGACCTCGTTGAGCCACCAATAGTCTTCTGTCACTATGGCTTGTTCTTATGTTATATATATAGCCTATATATATACTGTTATAAGTGTGACTATAAAACTTTATATACGCTATAAAATAAAAAATACTTTAATGTTTTGCTCATTTCTTAACCCCAGCACTGTGCTCCTGTTTATTGCTGACATAACCAATGTACAAGAAAAAATAAAATCCAAAATTTGTTTCTTTAATAGTTAAAATGTCATCCATCATGGGGAGGGAAAAACATGACTGACTTTGGCCATGGTAAAGCGAGGAAATCTCGCAATACATTTTGATTCATGAACAATCATCTTTTTGAAGGTTGCCCTGGTCTGGGCAATTCTTTGGGGGGTAGAAATAGCCTAAGCTACTCTATCCCTTTGAGATGTATTTCTTTCTTATCTCAATAAACATACTTGAACTCGATTTTGAAGGTCTCCCCGGGCTAGGGACGGGGCAGGAGATGCCACCAAAATATCTTTACATACTGTACTTATTTCAATGACTTTGATTTGCTTTTCTTTGTTTTTTAGCAATATTATTATTCAATACTGTCTTCCACACATTTCATTATATAAATTTGTGAAATTTATATAATGAAATGTGTGGAAGTATTGCAGTGGTCAAATATATTAGTATCACTAATATGTACACATTTTATATTCTTAGAATAATTAAACATACTGTTTTTGCTCTTATTACACTGTAGGCACTTTATGTATAACAACTTTTTCATGCACCATTATGAACCACTAAGTAGTTCTGGTGGGTGTAATAATCTTGTAACTAGTTTCTTCATATTTTTAATGTTTTTACCATGGTGTTTCCAAGTGCAATGATGCATTCGGTAGTTAAAAATTTTGTTTGTCTCACAGAACGTGTAGAAAACAGACATACTGTACACACATTGTGGTCATGTTAATGACAAAAATATTACATTCTTTGAACAATAAAACAGTATTTTCTGTACCCGTACCTGTTCAGGGTATGGATACTTTCTTGCGTCCCTTCAGCTCATTTGCGGTTCCAGCCTCCACTTGTCCTACATTCTCCTAGGATAGCCTACAAGAGGCTATCCTTCATCACCTTACCTATTCCCCCCCCTCAGTATCTTATAAGCAGTGATCATGTCCCCTTTATTCCTTCTATCTTCTAGGGTTGAGAGATTTAGTTCCATTAGCCTATGTTTGTAGCTTAGCCCTTTTAGCTCTGCCACCAATCTTGTTGCAAACCATTGCACTTTTTCAATTTTGGCTCTTATGTTTCAGAAGATGCAGATTCCATAGAATCAAAGGCAAAGAATGAGTTGGCAGGCTTCTGAAGGAGTCATTTGGTTTAACAAGGGGATGCATCATTTGTGGCATCGGGTGGCAGCTCTTCACCATTCCTTGTTTGCCACCAGTTCCATCTTGGTGAATGCTTTGTTGGTTGACCCAACTTCCTTAGCTCCTTGTTCTGAGGCTCACATTTCTCAGGTTGTTCTTGGGGTTATCAAGTCTAGCCAGCTTCCAGTTTACCCTCAGGCCCATTATGTTCGTAAATATGCTGTTTCAGTCGCCATCTTCTCTAATGTGTCCTGGGCTGATAATCGGGCATAATTTTGGCATTCTAACAGGGCACTTTGCAGCCCAGCATTTGGTAAATGTTCCTGGTCCCAGTCAGTCATGTGTGGCATTGGGCCATTTCTCCCCGGCCTAGGTTCTCCTCTTGGTAGGCACCAAGATGAAGAACTCTTCTTTTCCGGTAAGTTCCCTTTTTGTTCTCTGTGGTTACTTAGCTTCTGGGATCCACTTGGGGACTTCCTCCAGAAACCCAGCATTTTATGTAATGAAATACCTATTTCTGGAGGAGCCCCGGTGGCTTCCTAACATCCTCCCTCCAGGTTCATCAGATCCAGAACAGACTTGGTGAGCCAGCTGGGAGCCTAGGCTGGGCCTCCTGCTGGCGGTAACGGATTCTAATGAGTTTTTATTTCCTTTGAGAATTCTTTGTTCTGCATGATTCATTGGAAGTTTGGTAGTTTTAAGGCTTCATTCACTGCGAACCCTCCTGTTGTATGGATAATCAGGAAGCAAGACACAGGAGTGTCCTGGAAGTTAGGACATTCAACAAGGATATGCACGACCGTAAGAGGGACAATGCAGTTTGGACAATAAGGAGCAGGGCGGTGCTCCATTAAGTGCCCGTGAGTTAAGCGTGTATGGCCAATATGCAACCTAGCCAGAGCCATTTTTCACCGCCGGTTATGGTGGTAGAAGGAAGGTCATGGGGACTCACTACCCTTAAGAGCAAGCAATTTGTTACCAGTAACAGAAGACCAACAACCCTACCAATTGGCAAGGATGGAGGAATGAATAATTGAGTAAAAGTTGGATTAAGGAATACCTTAACGAGAGCTGGGACAGGTGCGGATAGCTTCCTTAGCGGCAGCATCCGCACGCTCATTTAAAGACACCAATATGGCTGGGAGCCCAGCAAAACTCCATTGTCTTAAATTTATTGGATAAGAAACAGCCAATGTTGAATCTCGACTACCACCGGATGAACTGGATTAACCCTTAGACCGTGCATATTGAGGGCCTGGTAGCAAAAAATATTTGAATTATGTAAAAAAACTTAAAAATGTTAAACAAATCTCCAACTTAATGGCTTCATGTCGTGAAACTTTTATAAAAATATTTTCAGAAATTGATTTTAGACAAATTAAAAAAAATTAAAACGTTTTGTTGATGAGAACAGCTCCTAATAACTGGAACTGAAGGATTATGCAGTAATAAGGAGATGCAAGCACCTCTACGATGTACAAAGAACAATAGAAGTAAGAAGTGTCCACAGTTGATATGCAGCTGGTGCCTTTATATCATTGCAGAGTAATACATAATAACACAAATAATAATGAATAACTACGTTAATATGTATTATTTTGTTATATATCATATAAATACATTGTCCAATGTTAATATATGTTACTTTCATCAATGGCCCAAAAATATTTTTTTTAGGGATTTTTTTTTTTAAGATTTTAGTTTTTGTTTCTCCTTTGTTTATTATCTGATTTTGTTGTAACCTTTACATCCTGGAGAATGCATAAAAAAGAACAGAAAAACAACAGAGTAGCCTACACCATCTGCAGACTTAAGACCCATTGGTGAAGACGGAAATGTAATGGGAGTGTGAAGAAGTGTTCAAGGAAAAGGCAGTTCAGAACTGTAGGAGGGGTAAAAACTTTAGTCACGTGGGTCAGGGTTTTACAAATTTTAGGAGGGGGGACCCTCCACGGGGGCAAGAGAGAAACAACATGAGGAGAAATATTGGTAACACTAACCAAAGGAGACTTTTGTAGGCGAGACAACCGTACAGAAAGAGGGAGGTGATGAAGAGGAACAGGGACCACAGGAGGGGTAAAAGTCAAAGCACGACATAGGCGAGAGTGAGGGTGTTGTAAGGACTGTGCAAAGTAACGATGCCAGTAGTGATCACGGTGGTCCTGGAGAGACAGGACGCCAGTTTCAACATACAGGCTGAGGGTAGGAGTCGAACGAAAGGCATCAGAGTTGAGGCGTAACTCAGTATGTTGCAGAGCATGAAGATGGTGAAGAGTAGAAGAAGCAGACGAGTAAGCAGGGCAACCATAGAACAAAACACAATCGAATCTGCCCATAGTAGGAAAGCAGCATGTCAAGGATTTGGGAATAATGATGTCTGACGACCTAACGTTTAGGGAGTACAGTTACTGTATAACCAAGCAAATATTGCGTCAAACAGAAAAATAATCGGATGGATTACGAGAACTTTCAAATCCAGGGATCCCATCACAATGGTTGTACTCTTCAAGTCACTTGTGTTGTCCCGTCTTGAGTACTGCTCAGTACTCACTACCCCCTTCAGAGCAGGAGAGATTGCTGAAATAGAGGGAATACAGAGAACATATACGGCACGCATAGACTCGATAAAGCACCTAAATTATTGGGATCGTCTCAAAGCCCTCCAAATGTACTCACTAGAAAGGAGACGAGAGAGATGTCAAATAATATACACGTGGAAGATACTGGAGGGCCAAGTACCAAATCTACACAGTAAAATAACAATGTACTGGAGTGAACAATATAGAAGAAAATGCAGAATAGAACCAGTGAAGAGCAGGGGTGCCATAGGCACAATCAGAGAACACTGTATAAACATCACAGGTCCACGGTTGTTTAACACCCTCCCAGCGAGCATAAGAAATATTGCCGGAACAACCATGGACATCTTCAAGGGGAAACTAGATTGTTTCCTGCAAGGAGTACCGGACCAACCGGGCTGTGGTGGGTATGTGGGCCTGCGGGCCGCTCCAAGCAACAGCCTGGTGGACCAAACTCTCACATGACGAGCCAGGCCTCAGGCCGGGCTTGGGGACTAGAAGAACTCCCAGAACCCCATCAACCAGGTATCAACCAGGTATAGGAGCAGGGGAGGAGTTGGTGTGAGAGTCCGGGTCCAAGGCCTGGAAACAGTTGTGAGACAGAGAGGAGGGAAGGGCAAGGAGAGGTAGAATGCGACAAACGAGAATAAGATATGTTAGCGAAAGGGGAGAGACGGTGAACTAGGCATCTTGCCTCAGGAAAAGACAAACGATCGTGGTGCTTCAAATTAAGGATAGTTTCCTCAAATTTGTAGTGTATACACGTGTGGGAGAAGATAGGGTGGGCATCACCGCAATTGAGGCAGTGGGCCTGGGAAGACGAGCACTCCGACTTAAGAGTGACCCGAATCCCCACACACTACACTTGTGCATTTGAGTGCACCATGCCCAAATTTCCAGCACTTGTTGCAAAGTCTAGGAGAGGGAATATACTCCTGAACGGAGCATTGGGCATCAGCAAGAATTATAGAAGGCGGAAGGGTCCTACTATCAAAATATGGTAGACTCAGCACGGAGACTCGCCAGTCTCCATGGTGTAGTGGTAAGACACTCACCTGGCGTTCCGCGAACACTTTGTCATGGGTTCGTATCCTGGCCGGGGAGGATTTACTGGGCGCAAATCCTTAACTGTAGCCTCTGTTCAACTCAACAGTAAAATGGGTACTTGGTTGTAACGATTCTTTGCGGTGGGGATCGTATTCCAGGGACCT